TTCCGGACTTCATTCTAACTCCTGTGCATCCCGATTTGCTCACGCTCACTTTTTTCTTGTTCTTTGTTTTTTTTTTCTGAAAATACGTTTCTCCTCTCTCCTTTTCTCGCGATAATTCTCTCTAGCATTACGTATTGCTACTGTATGTAGGGTTGTCCTATACACTGCCTTTTTCATATCAGAGGCATTACGACACTCCTGATCGTATCAAGGGTTTCTTGATGGTGGTTGCTTGCTTGCTTGCAAAAGTTGATTTTGCTGCAGTTTGTAGGGAGTGGGCAATTCTTTGGCATTGGGCTTCTATATGTGTGACCAGATGTGCTTTCGCCAATCAGGAGAATAACTTTAGCGGAGTAGGCCTCTGCTACCTGTTGTGTTTGCAACTTTTCGACGTCGGATTTTCGTGTTATATTATATCGCACCTTTGCTTCTACATTAAGACAGGTTCGAACCTTGGCTGCTACAGAGTAATAGTCCGAATCGATATTCGCTCCACGGATCGGTCGAACGTCGAAAACATAGAATGATTGCCTTCCGTCTATCACAACATGATCGATTTGATTTCTCGTTGCTTGATGAGGGAAATCGAGGCGGCCTTGTGTATATCGATATGCTTGAATCTAGTGGTGCTAACTAGCATGTTTTTTGCTAACACGAAGTCAAGATTTTCGTAAATAAGACTGACGTAGAAGAACTTCGCTTTTATACGGATTATTGCAATTCGTTGAACTACTGAAGTGAATCTGGAGACGAGGTCTTTCCTGTAAGGCAATAATATCGGCTTTGTACTTCTTGAATGCATCCGCCAAGGCGAAAACTGAGCCTGTTCTGTACAACGTGCGCACATTGCAAGTGAGATTCGCAGATCGTGGCCCTTTATACGTTTGAGGGGTTCGTCAACATTGGTGGGCTTTGGTTTTCGTTGCTTTTTCATAGTAAGAGGGGTTTTCGTGTGTGGGCAACTAACCCAACGCTCAACCCATTTTTTATAGTTCATATGGGTGAACTCGCGGCACATATCAGCTCACTATTTCAATGGATGATGAAAATAGTTTTCCCAGGTGACACCGCGGGGAGGTCAGTGTCCACAATTGAGATGAAAGAGGACCAAGATAATCCTGGGCTTCGCCACGTTAAAGCCAATCAGAGCTTGGTATCTCTCATCCCCTACGTCACTACTAAGTAACTGTATTCAAAAATAGATCCCTATCTAACTATATATTACCCTCTCTTACAAAAGAGACCCACAAGAAGACATTCACTATCTTTATTAAACAAAAGCCCAAACCTGTTCATTCGATTGTTATTTCAATTCAAACATAATTAAAAAATGTTTCCTTAAGAACTAATTAAACTAATCTAAAGTTAGACTCATAATAGCTGTCAATTCCCACAATGCTCTATTTTGTCCCAGCATTTGCATAAATCACAAAATGAGCGCAACAAAATCTAATTTAATGGACTTCTATTAAATCCTTTATTTTTTTCAAGCATGTACACATGCATCTTGAGACTGCATTAGCTACCTATAATAAAATCACTTAAATATTACACTGAGTAATATCGAACATGTTCATATGTTTTTTTATATTCTTCCATCATTGGCAATTGTTCATATCTTTCGAATGAAGATTTATCGAGTTTACACGTGTTTCTAGCTAAATGTATACAAAAAAAAATAATTGACATATAATAATAGCCGCAACTACGCACAACTTCCCTGTCACCATGAATACTTCTTTGCGGCGTGAACAAAAAATCCGCTTAAATTATGAATGCAATTTGGCAAATACAGTGATTTTTTTCACTTCAACAAAACGTGTTGACACCTCTAATTACCGACAACAACAAAAGAGAACATACACGACGTGCAGACAAGTTGCCGTTTACAAAATTCAAACCTAAACTTGACAATGAAATGTGTCAATGGAATGGAGTAATGTTTGTTGTTCGTGATGCTATTCATGGTTTGGGGTATTATGTCAAAGTTATTTGTATTTATCTATTTTAACAAAAAATAAGATATATTAATCACTTTATTATTATTTTTGTTGCTGTTGTGGGTAACTATGCCAAGAAGTTTCGGGGTGGTCCTACAATATTTTGTAACGATGGAATATCTTGTAAAAGATATACCGAAGGTCTTGTGGATATGTGGGAATTCTTTAATTGCCAATGGATCTGTTAAATCTCTTTAATTTAAAGAAGAATGGTATTTTGAAGTATTATCCGCAGTTTCAAACCGATGTGCCAATAATCAAAGCATTCGATAGAGTTTCGAAAAAAATATTTTATATTAAAATTGCAAAACATAGATTTTCATTCAAACTTTCATGGAAAGACCTTGTTCTGAAATGTTCTCTTCTACTTGATCTCTCCATCTAATTCGTGGCCTTCCCCTTCTGTGTGAACCATCAGTACGCTCGCTTTTATATGCCTTTTGTGCTGGGGCATCCATTCTTACAACATGACATAGCCAACGTAGTCGCTCGTCTGACTATGTCGATGTCCAAGAATAGCTGGTACAGTTCATGGTTCATTCGACGGCGATATTCTCCTTCGTAGTCGCACGTCTGACTATGTCGGTGTGCCAGAATAGATGATACGACGGCGGTATTCTTCCGGAGAATTTTTCTCTCAAACACTCCAAGAGCTGCCTCATCTGTACCATCCATACAACCGCACAGGTAGTATCAGCGTCTTGTAGAGTGTGAGTTTAGTCTGGTGAGAGGGTGCCTGGTTTTTGAATTGCTTACTCAGACCATCTTAGCCAACACTATTCTTCTCCGGATTTCGAAGCTGATTTTATTAGTTTTGCTTATGGCGGTACCGAGGTATATAAAATCATTCGCTACTTGGAAGCTGTAGTTTTCAAGTTTCACAGTTGGTTCGAGTCTACTGAACGTCCTGACTCCTTCTCATTTTGTTCAAAGGTGGGTGTTACCGCTCGCAATGTTCGACCCATTATACCGATGTCATCGTCGTAGGCGTGTAACATGTGTTGCTTGGTGTACAGAATGCCATTTTTGTTCACCTTTGCTACTCGTATGATCACATGACAAACTGTCACCTTGTCTGAATCCTCGTTTTGTATTAAGATCCTTTCCGAATTTAACTGCTAACCTAGTGCCACTTATCCGTATTATTTTTGCTGGAATGACGAACGCACACATGGCTTTAATCACCTTTGAACGGATAGAGCTGTCGAATGCGGCTTTATATTGACGAATGGGTGGAATGTGTCGATGTGTTTTTCGTAGGTCTTTGGTGCAGAGTGAAAATCTGGTCAATGGTGGATTTGCCAGGTCTAAAGCCGCATTGGTATGGTCCAATAATGTCATTGACCATTGGATTCAGTCGTTCATACAGCACACTGGATAACACTTTATATGCGAAAAAGGGAGATTTATTCCTCTATAGTTGGCACATATCATCTTGCCTGCTTTCTTGTACTCGGGACACAGGATGCTGAGGTTCCAATAATTGGGAATGCATTCCTCTAGCCAAATTATACCAATCACTTGGTTCTTTAGGCCTACTTGCATTTTTAAAAATAATATCCTATATTTGCTTATAAATTATAGTCAAAACTGTATGACATCGTGTCCAATGGGAATATTGTAGGGATTTTGTCTTCAGATTTGTTTAATTTAGTAGTACTTGGACCTGAAAAAGCTTTTAAATATTATATTTCCATTCTCGAAGTTGAGAACTTTCTTCGAAAGAAAGTTGCGACATATGTCGTGTGCGGTGGGAAGTGAGCATTAATGTCTTCGAACCTCTTTTCTATTGCTTCGAATATTCTCCGTCATCCAGGGTTTTTCGAATCCAGATTTGCTTTCTCGAAGTCGACAACTTTCTTCGAACGACTTTACAATTATTTTCAATAAATTGCTGACATTCATGTTGTCAGTCTTTAGGCTGTCATAGTTGGGCTGCCCCAAACCTATCATTTATCAGTCTCCCATATTTTACCCTGTTAATCTTAAACTTGTTTCGGAAGAATATTGTTTTTAGCGGTGGCTGTGAAATTTTAAACCTCTCACCAGTCGCTGTAGTTCCGCCGTTGGTGGTGGTATTGTCGAGCCGTACGCAGAGCAGACTATGTATGCATAAAATAATTTGTAATTAATGTGTCGAGAGATCTTGTTTTATACAGTCCAAGGTACCTGTATTAACCCGCTGTGTATATTACATTTAATCATTCTTTCCATCAGAGCCAGTGTTGCCGTCCCACTCCGATGGAGGTTTATCTTGACGACTTTTGTCAATTATCCTCCAGCAAACGGTCCTGTTGGGAGTTTGTTATCTTCTTCCCCTTTTGTTGATAGGCGTTTCTTCCTCGCTACTCTTCTTAGCCTCCTCTTGTCTAATTCTTGTCCTTGCCCTTCATCAGAATTGCCGTTGAAAAACTACTTAGGCGCACCAAAAGTAGAGTTCCATCTTTTTTCTCCTCCCTGTGGAAGACCTCCCATTTCTTCACAAGCAGTGTCCTGTTTTGTAGATCAAAGAATTCGAGCATGCGTTCTGTCCCATTTCTTCACAAGCAGTGTCCTGTTTTGTGGATCAAATACTTCGAGCATGCTTTCTGTCCCATTTCTTCACAAGCAGTATCCTGTTTTGCAGATCAAAGAGTTCGAGCATGCGTTCTTTTAAATCAATTTTGTATGACATATTTCTTTGAATATAGAATGACAGCTTATTTTAATAACTAGCAATATTTTCTAAGGCTGTAAGGATATTAAATTCCATCTCAAAATAACGTTAACCGTTGCCAAAAATCGCCAGACCGTTTTATTGCAACTTGGCAGCCAATCCTCCTCCATCATTATTGCCTTACGGAAATGTAAACTAATAAAATAAAATATTTACAACGTGATACAAAACTAAAAACAAACAATTAAAAAATAATTTTAATATTATTATATTGTTGTTGTTGAATTAATAAAACATCAATTATCGATGTTTCTAATATTTTATTATTGTATTTGTTTTTGCAGTTTGAAAAGGCGTCCCAGTCCGAGCTATGGAGTTTTGCAAGTCTCTCGCTGTTTCTCTTGGTGTTATTTACCTTTCGTGACTACTTGAAAACAGTGTTTCTGTCACTGAAACTTTCCGGACCAGCAGCCGTTCCGCTTATGGGTAATTGTCTGCTATTGAAGGAGAAAAATTGTAAGTAAATACAAAAATTAAAAAAAAAATAATTTTTAATATTATTCTTTTAATTTTCAGTAATGCGTTTACATGTCGCCAAGGCAAAAGAACTTTACGGTTCATTGGTACGCGTTTGGGTGTTGATGTTTCCCTTCTTTATGGTCCTACAACCGGATGATCTACAAATGATATTGTCATCGAAAAAGCACACCAATAAAGTATTTTTCTATCGTTTTATGTATAATTTTTTGGGCAAGGGACTGATAACAAATAGTGGTGATAAATGGCACACCCATCGTCGTCTCATCCAGCCAACTTTTCATTTAAGTATTTTGGAACGTTTTATTGGCACATTTGCTGATGCATCACAGGCTTTATACGAAAAATTGGATCCATTGGTGGGTCAAAATATTAACATTGCAAATTTTGTCAATGATTGTATTATTGATATATTGAATGGTAAGTTTAAATTTAAGTGAAGAAATTTTAATCGATTAATTAATTTTCCTGTTACAGAGGCTGTTTTGGGAGTGCCAATAAAGAAGAAAAATCTCGATATGGAACAATCACCATTTAGAAAGTAAGTATTAGCCTTTCCTTGAGATTCTTCGGCTTTTAGAGATCATTTTAAGGAACTAAATTAAGGTTTTATTAAAGGTTTCTTTGTGAAAATCATGAAAATAAGCCATAAAATCAGTCCTTCTCTTGGAAAAAATACTTGTTGTACGCAAGTTATTGATTGCTTCAGGGGATGGAATGAACTAGATGTGAACGGGATCATTACTAGATGTAAACAGGGAGTATGCTTTGTCAGTAGAGGACTTTAGAGCACTGACCATAGATGTCCAGGTCCAGATTGAATGAGTCAATGAGTAGCGTTAATGACGTACTCCTTGGCAGACGTCGTCGGACTAAACCATTTAAGGTCAAATGGTGGGCCCTCGACCAGGCGAACCAATGCGTAAAAATCTAGTTCAGCGTAAATCCGAATTTCTTGCTGCTCGTAGAACGTACAAGACCAACAGTCTAGTAGTAAAGAAGACAATGGAGATACGGGACAATGGATATGATCCTTGTATACCGTGTGTGTCGGCATGGTGGGTCTAAACGTCAGGTTGATATACAGAGGTTGCGTAGCAGCTCTACGACAACCACCTCGGGGTGGAGGAAGAGCGTAGGGCTTTTGTTCTTTCCCCATTCGCAGACTCCATCATTTCCTCCGCTTGTTGATGAAATGGAGAGCATCCGGTATTGGATAGTATAGAAGTTGTAGATAGGTTCTGTCGTGTAAAAGTAAAAAGTCGCCAGGTATGGATGGTATGACTGGAAGGATGTTTCAAGTCATCTGGTAGGCCATGCCGGAATATATCGAGTATTACTTAACGCGTGCTGGGTTTGCGTAAATCTGAAATCCTTGCAGCTCTTAGAACGTACAAAGACAAACGTCTAGGAGTAAAGAAGACAACTGGAGGAGTTTTCTTCCGGACAATGGTGATGAACCATGGGATACTGTATATCGTGTGTGCCGTCATAGTGTGTCTAAGCGTTAGGTTGACCTACAGGGGTTGTGTAGCAGCTCTACCATAACCACTTCGGGGTGATTGTCATCATTTCCTCCATCCATCATTTCCTCCGCTTGTTAATGAAATGGAGAGCCTCCGGGTTTGGATCGTATAAAAGTTGTAGACAGTTTCTGTCGGGTTAGAAGTAGAAATAACCAGGAATGGATAGTATGACTGGACGGATGGCTCAAGTAATATGATAGCTTATGCCGGAATATAACGAGCTATTTCTGGCAGAGGGATCGTGTAGCAGCTCTACAACAACCAATTCGGGGTGTCTGTTTTTATTTCGTCCATCCATCATGTCCTCTGCTTGTTGATGAATTGGGTGATCTTCCGGGTTTGGATCATATAATAGTTTTGAACAGTTTCTGTCGGGTTAGAAGTAGAAAATAACCAGGTATGGATGGAATGACTGGAAGGATGGTTCAAGTCATCTGGTAGGTCATGTCGGAATATATCGAGCTGCATTTGTCAGGGTTACCGCATTATCGGGAGTTTATCCGAGTTGTTGTATTGCTTAAATCGTCTGATCGAGTAAGGGGTAATCGGCTCTCGTATCGGGGCACAAGACTTCTTCCACTTCTTGAAAAAGTGTTAGAGAGGATTATGGTGGCACGGCTTAGGAAATATTACAGCAAAGGTACTTCTTTGTATCAGTTTGATTTTACTGACGGTAGAGGTACCAGGGTGAAGCACAAGGTTGCTGAACGTGTCAAATTCCAATTATTTCCTTGGCATATTACTGGTTTTTAAAAGGCGCCTTTCACTTCCTTTTATGGGATAGCCCAGGTAGGAAGTATTGTGTAGTGGGAGCAGTGTTTTGGTCTGGGGGATGTGCAGAGGGTTTACCCACAGGGTTCAATGTATATGATCCTTTGTTTAGGGAGCTAGCTTAGGGCATATGTGGACTACTTGTTCATCACAATTGAAGGGGATATTCGTCTTGAAATGGAAAGTCGTGGTGAGCAAGTTATGCAGATAATGCAGTCCTGGAGTAACCGAGTTGGAGTGGAGGTGGCAAACCAACAAGACGATCCTGATGCTGCTGAAAGATTGGTTAGCACACAGCCATCCTCCCTTTATTCGAGCTGGTGAACGCGGCGGAAGGTATTCGCGTACTATTAAGTACCTCGGAATAAAGGTGTCTGAGAGGTTGAATTTCCTTGCTCACTTCGATCGGTTGAAGGAAAAGAACGGAATCCCGAAACGAATACGTATATGCAGAGCATATATGGAGTCTGTTAAACACGAAACGAACTACCAAACAAATACCATATGTCTTTGCAGAACTTTTTCTCATTGTCAAAGAATTTCCTCCCTTTTGTACCCATCAGTATTTTTATCTTATAAATAAATCATTCCACTGAACTTTACCATTTTAATACTAAGCCAAATTTTCTCTGGTGTAAACGACTATAAATAATAATTAAATCATAACAGATCTGGACATTTAACTTCGTTTAGCGATACTACAAATCTTGCTTGTAAAGACTAATTTTCAATTTCCTTCTTTTCAGAGGTAAAATTCAAATACCCCAACGTTTTCTCAAACCCTGGTTACTGTTCGATGGCATCTATCAAATGTCGAAATTGGCCTCAGATGAGTTGAAACAAAAACGACGTCTTGATGAATTTACGCGAAAAATGATACAAATACGACGTGAAATGAAACAGAAAGATGAAATTACGATGAAAAAATGTCTACTCGATTACATGATAGAAATATCCGATAGCAATCCAAACGACTTCAATGAAGATGATATTGTCGATGAGGCGTGTACATTTATGTTGGCCGGACAGGATTCTGTGGGTGCTGCGGTGGCTTTCACCATATTTCTCCTCGCACAAAATCCCGATTGTCAAGAAAGATGTATGGATGAAATTGAGAGAATATTTGGAAGTGATGATCGTGCTCCCAATATGCAGGATTTACGTGAAATGCGTTATTTGGAAATGTGTATTAAGGAATCGTTACGCCTCTATCCCAGTGTACCATTGATAGCACGTAAATTGGGCGAAGAAGTGCGATTGTCGAAATTTACTCTACCAGCTGGTAGCAACATTTTCATTTGCCCCTTTGCAACACATCGTCTACCGGACATCTATCCCGATCCGGAGAAATTCGATCCCGAACGTTTTTGTCCAGAAAATTCGGAAAAACGTAATCCGTATGCATTTTTGGCTTTCAGTGCCGGTCCACGCTATTGTATTGGTAATCGATTTGCCATTATGGAAATTAAGACGGTTATCTCAAGGTTGCTACGCAGTTATCATATCCTACCGGTGGCTGGTAAAACAAATGTTAATCCAGTGTTTCGTATAACATTGAGGGCGTCCGGTGGTCTTTGGATCCATCTGAAATCACGTGAAAATAATAAACTTATTGAGCTAAGTAGTTAAGCAAGGGAGGCTAGTTGTTAGTATGTAGTTAATATAGACAGATCGTACAATAAGAGGGAAGTGACGTTATCATGGTTTCCTATATACATATATTTCCTATTTTTTTAAGAAGAACGTATTTCCTATGTGATTAAAAATTTTCATTGAATATGTTATGTGAAAAAAACATACTTTTGCCCTTTATTACAGGATTGATTGCGAAAATCTCAACTAAAGGGGAAAACACATAAGAGGATTCAGGCCTGGCCTCTTAAGTTGGCTTTGTATGAAATGTCAATTTGTAAAGGAATATCAGAGTCAAACTTGATTTTGGACGCCGTTCTCCTTTATTCTTTTACAATAAAAGAATCCAACATGCCAATCCTGAAGTCCTCTTATTTTCTAAAACATATTTTATTAAAACTTATTTTTGAAATGACATTAATAAAATATTTATGGGAAATAAAAATTATTATTAGTTTATTTATAAGTTATTTTTAATGTTTTATAATTAATTGTTTAAGACTAGCTCTAAAAATATAACAACATACATATCTAGATAAAAATTAAATTCTTTTTTTAATTCTGAAATCACAATGTTTAATAGTTTATTTAAAATTTTAAATATATTTTATTTATTTAAAATATTTTATTGAAAGAGCAATTGAAATATGATTTATTTGATATATATATGCAATGGAATTGACAATTTAAACCCACTGGTTTACGGAAATCCAGAACAATGTTAATGTACTACTCCATCAAAACAAAAACCTTTGTTTTTGTCTCGACCATCTGTCAAAATTTTCTATTATAATATTTCACATGCACATCGAATTCAAGTTAATCGAGACATCAGCTGCGCTAAATGGACTAACTATTAGTTGTGTCATGCATGGTACAATGAATAGAACTCCTTGTACATTAGAACTTTTTAACGGGTTAACCTACTTTATGAGGATTTATTTGACGTATATGCAAAGGAATTGACAATTGAAACCCACTGGGTTAACGAAATTCGGTTAAATGTAAACGTACTATAGGTAGTCCATTTAGCGCAGCTGATGTCTTGATTAACTGTCAAAGTGCATAATTTCAACTTGAATTCGATGTGCAGTGTTGCCAACCATTTGAAATATTATATGGAAACATTTGACAGATAATCGAGACAAAAACAAAGATTTTTGTTTTGATACATCACCTTATTATTGCATCATGGTATATTCCCTACTCGGCTTTGGGAAGAAATCATAACCTTTCATTAATTTTTCGAGTTTTTAGTTATGTGTTGAAAAATATCAATTCAATTTGTTGTGTATGCTTTTATTATATTGTCAGAAAAACTCACTATCTACAGAGTTGCTTTTTTTTTTGTTATTCACCTCAAGTTATCCTACCATGTATGTAGGATAACTTGATAACTTATGATATGCGTATACTTACACATATCATAATTTCTGTGACAATTTTTCAATTAAAAATTTTCATAATGTTTAAATAGAAGTTGGACTCCATTAGGTGAAAAATTCATAAAATCATGTATATTTTTAAATTATATTAATATTTATATAAATGCAAACAAATTTTCCATTTACAAAATATCGCCATGACGATTTCAAATGTCAATTCCATAGCGTATACGTTACCTTAAAGCGAATTTACATATAACATCTAATCATGATTAAAGACTGAATCAGGGTTATTTTCTTCATCAGGCTGAATTTACCATGATTTATCATACAAATTTAAATCATCGTACGGCAGGATTTATTCTAAATCATGAACTAATGAGATGCAACAGTGTATTATCAAATTGCAAACAAATATTTTTGGCGCAAATTAATAATTTTGTATGTATACATGCTGGTCTTTCTGTAGAAGAGCCGTGGGCTCTAAATGGGGTTTCAACCCAAAGATGGTACACTGGATCTACAAGAGCGTTATTAGGCCAATTCTAACTTACGCGTCTGTAGTCTGGTGGACAGCAATAGACAAAAAATTTAATGTAATAACACTACAGAAAGTCCAAAGAACTTGTTGCCTAGGCATATGCGGGGTAATGCGGACAACTCCAACTAGGGCACTGGAAACTATATTGTATATACACCCAGTTGAAAGATATGAACGAGTGGATCGACAACGGACACTACACACCGCACGAAAATATACTACAGGCTACGATCGGACACTCAATTAACCACTTTGTGCCAGATCGAATACCTGAAACAAGAGTAATCACATTGTGTGAAATTCTGATACCGGACAGAGGTTCATGGAACAGCGGAACACTAGCACATATGCCTCCGGGAAACTTTTGTTACACGGATGGCTCCGGCCTAGCGGGAAAGACGGGACTGGGACTTTTTATTGAAGAACCGGTGACTGAAATCTCACTTCGCCTGCCAGATCACAACACGATCCTACAGGCGGAGGTTCAAGCTATAACGGAGTGTCTAAGATGGCTAAGCTCTAACTCTGGGCATAATAGCATAAATATCATGACAGATAGTAAACATGCTATTAATGCAATAACATCCAAAACAGTTGCATCAAAACTGTACTGGAACAATAAACAACTTCTCACGACACGGTCTTGTACGTATAATATGGATACCGGGTCACTCAGGAGTCATACGTGCTACTGACCTAACCAACATAGATGTGAACAGTGCAAAACCTTTTAGCGCTTCACGTCTAGAAATGAGGTCATGGGCGAAACACTCTGGAATAACGAGAGGATTGGAAAAAAACACAAAAATCTTATGGGGAGACCCAAATGAGGATAAGACTAAGCAAATACTTACGCTAAACAAGAAAGAACTAAGCAGACTGATAGGCATTCTCACAGGACATCTTAACCTGCAGTCACATTTACACAAGATTGGGTGTTCGGGAAGCAGCAGGTGCAGAACGTGTGGGGAAGACAACGAAACGTTGAAACATTTCCTATGCCACTGCGCGGCTTTTGCATGCATCCGAACCCAATTCTTGAAAAACGACACTATTCCTGAACTTAATGACCCAAGGGGGTCTGAATGGAAAATACTAAAGGACTTCTGTAAAAACACAGAATTCCTAGAAGAATAGAGAGACCATACAAAAAATCTAAGAATAATGCCAATCTAAATACCTTTCCTTCCTAGAGCGCACAACAGGCGTCCTATGGCTTAAGTGTATGTCCCATAATGGACATGAGGTGGTCTCAACCACGCCTCTTTTCAAACTAACTAACAAACATCAGCTAATCGGCATTAGGATCATGATTAAGAATCTGTCCAATGGATTATATTTGACGTGGATGTCGTAAATCTAAATGTACTCTGAGGCAACCATTTTGAAAATTCGTGGAAAAGCAGTGTTGTATTTGAAATTATCACGATTTAGAATTGGATTTAGAGCAAATCGAGATAATGGCGCGACTATACCTTCTAAATCGACTTAATTTTAATTTTCAGCTGCTGCCATGTTTTTGTTAGGCAACTTTTTGGAATTTTAAAGTATTTTGAAGTAATGCATGTTTTGGGTGAAAAGCAGGGTTGTATTTGGAATGTCAAATTCAATTTTAATACTATTTTAAACATCTTATTAATTGAGCTAATAAAATTTTAACCTTATAGTACTTTTACATTTAACCGGATTTCGTTAACCCAGTGGGATTCAATTGTCATTTCCCTTGCATATACAGTGGCTCCATCGAATAATCGGACAAGTGGTTGTCAGATATAATAACGCTATACATTTCAAAAAAATTGTCTAAATGTGTAATTTTTTCGCTTTTATTTACACATTACTTACTTATATTTCTGAACAATACAAAAAACAACAACTTTCCTAGTGATAACAGTAAATTTCGTCAGAAAAACAAAATTAACTCAATTTATTGTGTTCAACGCAAAATCGGACAAAGCAAAGTATCAATGTTTAAAGTCCCGTTATTATGCAAATATTAACTTCAAATCGGTATTTTGTTTGTCATATTCATTCGTAAATTGCATTTAGACCAAGAAAGTGGTAATACTAAATAAAAATAAATGTAAATGGCTCCAAAAGGGAAACAATCCAGTGTGGAAATCAGGCAATTAATAGATAAATTGAGTTATGAAGATAAAACAGTAAGAGAAATTGCCGAATTGGTAGGAATGAGTAAATCTACTGTCCACGACATTATAAAGAGGTTCCGTGATGAGTTCCGATTGACCAATAAAAGCAGAGAAGGTCAAGGGAAGATATTAAATGAGCGAGAAGAGCGTTCGATATTAAAAGAAATAAAACAATATTCATTTTAAACCGCAAAAGAACTTAAAATAAATTTAAAAACTCGCACTGGAAAAGATGTGTGCCTAAATACTATTCGCTATACATTGCATAAATATAATTATTATGGGAGAGTTGCAAGAAAAAAGCCATTTATTAGCCTTAAAAATAAAAACTGTAGTATAAAATATGCCAAGGAGTTTTTACTAAAACCAGACGATTATTGGACGCAGGTAATTTGATGATAGATCATCTTAAAATAAATTTCTATTGATAGTTTTCATTATATTAAGGTTCTGTTTACTGACGAAAGCAAATTTAATTTGCACGGATCAGATGGGAAGATGTATGTGTGGCGTAAGCCAAATGCTGACTATAATCATGAGAATACAAAAGCCACTGTTAAGCACGGAGGAGGTTCCGTTATGGTTTAGGGCTGCATGTCGAGTGCGGGAGTAGGTAATTTGCATTTTATTGATGGTAAAATGGACAAATTTGTCTACCTCAACATTTTAAAACAAAATGTAAAGCAAAGTGCAGACAAATTGGGTATCGCGAACAACTTTGCCTTTTATCAAGACAACGATACCAAGCACACATCAGGTGTAGCAAAGCTTTGGTTGATCCATAACTGCCCCAAACTTATACAAACACCTGCACAGAGCCCAGACCTTAACGTAATTGAGCATCTTTGGGAAGAATTAGCTAGGAGAGTGTATGAAAAAAAATTTAACTCCTTAGTACAGCTTAAGGAGGCTTTACTGGAA